TTCCCGTAACTTCCCTCAATCCTGAAAGGAAGTAGAAAACTGCAAAGGTTCCGACACTACCCTTCCGGACGTTTAGATGTAAATGTATTGCATATCTTGGACGACATGCTTGAACTGTCTTGTATGTCAACATTCTCATGCTTTGTGCAAGTGACCTTTGCCGATCTCCAAGTTTTTGCTTGGCCACATGTCAAGATGGGTCCAGATTGAGGTTTTTTAAAGTGTGTTTTTGGGATGTTTTTTGGTTGTTGCTGCTGGCTGCACGATAGCCCTTTAGGAGTAGGGTTTTGGGGTACCCTAAAGCCACCGAAAACGGAAAAGCAGAAAGCAATAGGCAAAAAACGAAAAAAATCAACAACGAAAGACAATAGTTCATACTCCGCGATCGCCAGTTCGCTTGCTAATCTTGCAATCTCCAAAGTTGATCCGCTGCTCTTCAAACTATGGAAGTCTGCCAAAGTCAACCGTCCAGAGTTGCAAGTTGTCACACAATTTGGAAGTCTGGAAATTGGTCTTCAGCCATATATAAATACGGAACATCACCCACACTCGCCGACCCACGCCCCAAATCAACCGTATGCAGTAGGAACCAGAATATAAAGGAGAAGGGGGCTGGTCATCAAGACGTCGCTAACATGTCGTGTGTATCTGCTTTCAGGACTAACTATGCAACAATATGGTTCTTGCTTAAAGCAAGAGCCTGGTGGTGTAACTCGTTCCAATTTTTGTGCTTTGGCCAGCTCGGCCGAATTTATTGTGCCTGAGAGCCATGCAATCTGCAACGTACATACTTCCACGTTGCCGTGCTGGGCACTGCGGATCTTTGCTTGTTCGTGGTGGTGGACCTACTGAGACCTAAGTGACTTATCATAAATTTGATAAACGGGGAGGAGACCCACCTTCCTACTTTCAAGATGCGCTGGTTGCCTCAAGCCCAGATGTCTGCAAGGTGGCAAAAGGCACATCAGTGTACAGTTGATGTTGCAAGGGAGTGCTGAGTGGGGGGGTAGTTCTGACATTCTGCCACACGTAGGACTCTGCCAACACAAATGCCAGTGCTAGATCTCATCAAAAAGATGCAGATGGTCGATAAACAACAGGCCCCCCAATTCAGCTTCGCTTGCTCGTGGAAAAAAGCTTCCCGAACAGATGGTCCGTCAGTAGTAGCAGTAGTAGTAGTAGTAGTAGTAGTCGTCGTCGTAGTAGTAGTAGGAGAACACTCCTCCTCCTCCTCCTCCTCCTCCTCCTCCTCCTCCTCCTCCTCCTACGACTACTACTACTACTACTACTACTACTACTACTACTACTACTACTACTACTACTACTACTACTACTACTACTACTACTACTACTACTACTACTACTGCTCCTCCTACTGCTGCTGCTACTCCTACTCCTACTCCTACTCCTACTCCTACTCCTACTCCTACTCCTACTCCTACTCCTACTCCAGCACCACTACCCGGAGGCGTAGAGTTGTAGGTGAGCCGTGCAGTCGTAGAGTTGGTAGAATTCGTAGAGTCGTACCAGTTGTTTTATTAGTAGTCGTCGTAGAGACCGTACAGACCTTTGTCGTCCTCAGATTTGGAGTAGAAGTTGGAATAGTAGGAAAGTAGTAGAGCCAGAGCAGTGGCAGCAGCAGGAGCAGAAGCAGTAGCAGTTGTTCGTTCACCTTTGGGATGGAGGGGACGGGGGGGGGGGGGGGTTGATTCCGTTGGTTCTCGGGTCTATCCTTGCCCTGCCGAGGCTTTGGCGTTGGGGGAGGAGGGGAGGGTTGGTTACGACCATGGTATCTAACTATGCCCAAAAGCTTAGTTTTTGCAGAATGTTTGCATCTTTATACGACATGCTGCAAATGGATGTTTGACGTTGCCTCTAACACTCTAGCTCGCCCTGCCGAGGCATTCGGGTGGTTTGGGGTTTAGGCTTCAGAGTTTGGGTTTTTGGGATTGTGTTGCTCTTTCGGATGTTGCGGAGTTGTAAGGGTTCTTTGGGTTTAAGGTTTTACAGCCACTTCACAAGCAAAAACCCTATACTACCAAAGTAGTTTTCCCCCGACGGTTTCCCGCCTAAAGGCTTTGTAATTCGCTGGCCCTTCACACGCCCGAAACACCACGAGCTTTTGGACTAGGCACAATGGCAAATGTACGTAGCCACAGCCTCCTACAAACGCGCGTCCTCGCAGTGGTGGTAGTAGTCGTCGTCGTCGGTTATTGCTGTAGTGGTAGCAGCAGGTACTAGTTGTCGTGGGTGGTTGTGGGGCGGCAGCAGCAGCAGCAGCAGCAGCAGCAGCAATCGCAGCCTATTTATTGTTGTTGTTCCTTTCGCGTTCATGCAAAGACAGTAGCATGACCAGTGTAGCTGGATGAGAAGCATTGTTCTGGAGCTACTGTGGATGCTCTTTCTGACAGTAGCATATGTTTTTACAACAATTCCCACTGTAAAGGAAGGCCAGACGCCCATGCATCTTCTGATCCACCAACTGCAAAGGTTCCGTGCTGTGTGCTTGGCTCATTTGGGATTCAGAATTTGGGTTCATGAAAGATTCAGGTGTTGGGATTTCACCTTAAAAGGCCAAGGCCGAGGGCCGCTTGTTTCCAGTGCGGCGGTGAAGCCGCATCCGAGAGGGCCATACCGATGGTAAACGAGGTGTTGGGTTTGTGGACAAGTTGCAGACATTCCACTCTCACCGGGAACAAAACCATGCGAAAGCATCTCAGACCTCCCCAAGCTTTGTGAGGAAGAAAGCAGGAAGCTTACATCGCTTTTGCGCTATGGCCGCGCCAGAGAGGGACCTCAAATCTAAACCCAGACAGCCCAAGCAGCTTTGCTTGGAACTGAAACGAGCTCACGTTGCTGCCAAAGCCTCGGCTCAAGGGGCGCCCGCGCAGGTTTGCTGAAGCAACAACGTGCCTGCTGCTCTTGATCGTGGCACACTACGCATGCCTTGGCAGGTCCCAGCCTGAGTGCGACAGAAGTTGAAGCTTCAAGCTTTCCGCGCCTTCTTTAGTGCCCTAAAGGTGCCCCCTGTCCTTGACGGGGGACTCAGCTCAGTTGACCTGTGAGTAGTACAGTGTCTATCAGAATGCCCAAACGAGCTTCAGCTGGGGTGCCAAATTTGTTCGACAAAGGATGTCTTCGATGTTCGTTTAGGACTTCTCCGGCACGGCGCTACATGTTACCTTTCATGTGTCTCCCGCTTCTCTCCCATGTGTCTCGACCCAACATGTTGTGACGCCCTTCAGGGACTGTTGTCTCCCATCTGTCTCGTCCTCGGACACTGGTTTTTTTCCCATTTGTCTCCCTTTTTAAAGTAAGCAAACCCTGGATGGTGTGACATCAGTCTAGGACTCTTTTCGACAGCAACAAAGATGCGGACAGCGGAATGAGTGTTCAACTGCACGAGCACCCCCGCCCAAGCACATCCAAATTGGGAGGGGGCGGGGCCACCAAACACATGGAATCTGAATCTGCTCCTGCCTCACCATTCTCTGAACTGTGGAAAGATTCGCCAACAATGGTTCCTAGGTGGATTCCTTTGAGATGGGAGGCTTCTTTGAAAGGTGAACACGCGTGCAGTGTGCACGGAAGAAAACTGGGACGTCTTGATTTCGGCTGTGACTTTGAACAAACATAGAGAGAGCATCAATAACCTTTCGAGCACAGACTGCAGAAAAGTGCTTTGCCGATATTCTTCTTGAGAGCAGATGTGGCAGGAAAGTACGTTGGACGGCCTAATGAAATGAGCAACTCCTGCAAGGTTTGGTGCCTTTCCCGGCAAACTTTCCGGGCGTCCTGCACCTCAGCTGGTTTAGACTCTCGATGTTGTTGTTGCTCTTTGAGAGTGTGTATGTAGGGCTTGTAGCAGCTTCTTTCTTGAAAGACTAAGCGTGGCATAGGTTCGATCGTCATATCAAAAGTGCCCTGCGAGCAACATCACTCGCTCGCAGAGTCAGCGGATAACGAGAATCTGCGAGCGTGTCCCATTTGCCTCAGAAATCATGAGGGTGCTGGCGAGGTCTTCAATTGCATTTTACATGAGGTACCTTCTGCCAAGTCCAAGTGTCACCAGATCTCCCTCTGCTCCTCTCCTCCTCTCGCCCTCTCCCTCTCTCCCACTCTCCCACTCTCCCTCTCTCCTTCGCTCCCTCTCTCCCCCTCCCCCTCTCCCCCTCTCCCTCTCTCTCTCTCTCTCTCTCTCTCTCTCTCTCTCTCTCTCTCCCTCTCTCTCCCTTGAGATCGCTTCAGCACAGCCTGTGCACAACACACTGCCCACGATACCCGCTGCCACACGTCACCCGGAAAACAACAAGGTGTTTTTTGTGGTGTTTTCGGATGGTGTCCCAAGGCTACATGCAACTTGCGCCGCTGTGCCAAGGTGCTGAAAGCTGTTGCTGCGGCCAACCCCCTTTTTGCCACGCGTCTAAGCTCAAAATGGAGTTGTACAAGGCTTCCGAGTTCCGAGTATGAGTCTTAGCCAGAGATGTCGCAGCTGCTTCAGTGGCAGGAAAGGGCAGGGTCAGTTGAAAAAATGCCCGTCATAATTTGCTTTTTCAAGCTGGTGCGTTAACGTGGTGCTCTGAGGCCACCGCCAACTTTGCAATCCAGCATAAGCAGATCAACCCTAGACCTCAGCATACACCAAACTAGAGTTCTACCAAAGCAACATACTAAAGGTGTCGTGGAAAGTGCTGCTTGCCGAGCGCGAAATACAACCCGAAGCCCTGGACACCTAATGCCGCTGGTCCACGTGTGCAGGATTCGCTCTCCAGCAAGAGTCAGAACGCCCGTTGCGGCGGTGGAAGCTGTAGATGTTTTGATTGGCACGGGTGGACACTGGGCTCCCTTTCAGTATCTTAAAATTGAGCCACACACCGTTTCACGCACCTTATCGGCGAATAGACTCTTTTGAAGGAGCTTCAAACTGTATATTGCCGCTGAGTTTGTATTTCTACCCAGGGCATGGACACACCTTTCCTGGTGCCACGGTGCCCTGGGGCATGGCTGTGGCCACACCGTGGGCGCACGCGCTGGCCAGATTCCCCCTTTCAAACTGGGACACTCAAGCTGGCTTTAATGCGGACGTTCCACTCATGAAGTCTCTTCAGCTATCTTCAGATTCTTCAAAAGGGCCATGAAAGACGAGCAAGGAACAGAAGGAAGGCTTGTCATTCACCTATGTTTTCCGAACAACAAAGGTTTCACGGCATGGCGCACTCCGCGCTCAGTGGAGCTGGCTCTGGTGAGCTGGGCGAGCTGCGACTCCTGCCCTTCTACGATGAGCCGGTGGGCATCTTGTTCACGAAGTCTCTGTCCGCTTCGCCTGGCTATTTCCGCGGCGTGGTCGGCACAAGCTCCCGCAACGTGACGGTTGAGAGTTCCGTGACGACCCTTGGAATTGTTGCAGAGGCCAAAGGAGAGCGCAAATCAACAAGCCCTTTTTTTTGACCTTAAGATCTCCTAAACAAGCACACAAGGAAACGAGCAGCGATACACCGCTTCCACTTTGACAACTCATTCCTGGGAAAGCGTGGCCTCAGTGTGGTCTTGCATCCCCCGCCAGACAGCTACTGGGGTCGCTTGGTGCTGTTGAGGGGTTGCGGCACCCCAAGAACTAACAGTGCTCATTGGTCGTTGCAATGGAAGTGGGAAATGCTTGGAACACGCTCTTCTCCCGCATGTCTATGACCCCAACCGGGGCATTTTTGTCGTTGCATTCGCCAGACAAGATGTAAGGTTACGAGCTGCTAGATTTCCAGCTGGACGTCAAAGAGAAGGACTCGCTACTTTGAAAAGGTGGATTCCCAACCCCTGAGGCTCGATTTTATAAAGACTTACATCTCCTTTCATGCCCTTGAGGTAGGCACAGTAGGATTCCGGGTCAGGAGCAGCTGCTGGAAGGCTGTAGCCTCTCCGAGATCTCTGGAATGTCTGGTGCCGAATCCTTGCTACCCGGCGTCCTGCGGCAAGATGCATCCTCTGCCTTCACGTGTGCTCAAGCTCTCGCGAAGCCGCGTAGCCGCGTAGCGCTGGGTTGCTGAGCGAGGAGAGGGAACAAGATTTCCCGACACCGTCATCGGCTGTAAGCATTAGGGTGGCTTTACAACCTACAGCATACAAGTATTGAACTCCACTTGCTGCAACACCCATGATTCGAAATGATTCGACCCTGCGTCTGTAGGGAGCTTGAAGGTTTGGGGGTGCAACTCAACTGTAGAGGCAAATCCACACGAGGGGTCTCCAAGAAGCCTTGTGATAGGCACCATAGGCTTTTTCCCTCTGCAAATTGCGTCAAACCGGCAGAGTGGTGATGGCAACTTTGGGCATAAGGTTTTCAGGCGGACTTCTCTCCCAACGGGATGGAAATCTCTGAGTGGCAACGATGCAAAATCTTCAAAGGAGACCGAGGTGCAGTGGTTGGGTCCCTGAGTAGGAAGAAGGTGCCCTCAACCGCAACCGAAGCTTTCTTCAACTCCGAGGCTGTGCTTCGCCATAAGTGTGGATGCGCCTTTCACGCACTCGCCTTCCTCAGCTTCGGCGCAGCTGGTATTTCCAGATCATCCGCAGACGGTGAATGTCCGGATCGGCCTGAGCAGAACCAGCCAGGGCACCCAATTGCGAATGCTTGTTCAAATAGCTGTGGAAGCACGCACTCGGTCTTTTTGAACTCCGAGGTGTGTCCTACGCCAGACGAAACTTGCAAATGGAGCTGGAGCAAGCAGGACTTCCCTTCATCTGCAACCCCAACAGTCCCTGACCCCGAAGCAGTGATGGTTGCCATGTGGCTACCCTGAGATGCGTGCGACCATCATGTTGGGATGAGATGCATGTATCTGAGCGCATGCATGCACATGCTTGCCATGTAGCACTCATGGGATAAAAATGCACTTCGTGGTGTGTCCCTACATCTGCTTTGGAAGTCCCGGTGCGGAGGAGCCAAGCTGCAGCTGGAAGACGTGGCCTTGGCGGCTCGCCAGTGCTGGGAAAAGGCGCTGAGCACAGTGTCCGTGGAGATTGCTCCTCTGAGCCGTCGCCGTGTCTTCTACACAGGACTTCCCCATACCAAAGATTGGCACGTTAAGCACTTGATGTTGAGCGGAGGGTTTGCGCAGTTTCGGGTAGAGGCAGTAGTTGAGCAAGACTTGTCTGGCGGTCGATGAGTTGTCTTTCGAAAGAGGGCATATCAAAAGGGTCACAGACGTCGAAGCTCGAGGACTCTACCATTCTATGATGGTGCCACATCTTCTCTCGGAGCATGACGGGGTCTACCGTTTGCAACGCCGCCCTACCAACTCCTCGCAGATGTCGAAGATGACGCTGTGCAAGCTTCAGACGAGCTGTCTAGGATATGGCAACCTTGAAGCCCTGAGAGCAGGAATTGAGAGTCCTTTTGCAAAGTACGGGGCTTCATTCGAGTTTCTTCAGTGCTCTGGCATCATCCGCTAGCACTTGAAGGGATTTTGCTTGTGAAAAAGTTTGTGTGCGCCGCGCTCGGCCGCCGGGACGCGCGCGTCAGCCCAAGCGGGTGCACTTCAGAGTTTCTCCGCGCGGCTGCAGACATCGCGGGCCAAGACTCGGGCAATGGGATTCCCAGTCAGTCGAAAGCACCGAAAGCCTGACGCCAAGAGAGGTCCAAACAAAAATCCTCTCCAAAGAGCCCCCTTTACAGCTCCAGCGTCTTTGTCCGGTTCAAATGTCCGGCGTTAAGCACAACCAGAGCCCCCTGTGACTCAAGCGAAGTCCCGACGTCTAGAACCTGGGTTCAACTTCAGCTTTTCGAGTTTTGAGCTCTCAGCCTCGATGCAAGATGAGGAAGGGAGAAGTTTTCAAGCTGAAGGATTTGGACACCAAGATGCCGCAGGCAAAGACTGCTGGAGAGGATATGTACCATACCTTCTCCCTTTGGGCCGCTTGGCAGGGGGAAAACTCAGATTCTGTAACGTTTGTTCCGTTTCTTACGGAAAGTGGATCATTCAGAATTCCAAAATGCAGCATAAAATAAGCCTTCACAAGAGTTGTGGCCCTGTGAGGACACATATCGCGCCTTGCATCCCATGTTGAACCTAATACATCCGTCCATGTCGGCAGCATTTGGCAGTTCCTTGCTGGAAATCGGCAGGCGCCTCTGACTTTGGGATGCTGGCTGGGGCTTTGGCAATTTGGGGGTGGGTTCTGACGAGGTTAAGGGTGGTGTTGCAGGAGAGGTTTCTTCTGTCTGGCGTGTGTTTCGAAGTAGGGTAAGATTAGTAAGGCAGGGTTCCTAGGTTCCGTAGGGTCAGGTGTTGCCGCGTTTGCGCCAGCCCTTGTTTTCTATCACTGTATCCCAACTAATGCTTTGCCTTCGCGCCTTCGTCTCGTTTTGTCAGGATGCACAATGCACAGCCTATTCCAGGCACTAGATCGCTGAATGCAATCTGCAGCCCCTTCGGGTCTAAAAGTGTGCGATCGTAGGATTAGGCGTATGTAACCAGGTTCGTGTGTAAGGCCAATGGATGCAACTCTGAGCTACCGAGCCAAACCTTTGCAACCCCGGGTAGTCGCAATCGAGTAAGGTGGTTTTTAAAAGAACGGTTTTAAGTCGGAAATGAGGGTTCTGCAGTGGCTGCTGTTATGGAGTTCTCCCGGTGATGGCGTTGCTTGCACGAGTGTTCTGCGACCCTTGCAGGCTAACGAGGGCACATAATGGAAAGCGCGCATCAGCAGTCGTCCAACTGTCACGAGTGCAAGGTCACCAGGTCCATCCTTCATAAGCTCCATCCTCCGCTCTGCTCTTCTCAACTCTCTTTTTTCCTGTTCAATTGCAAAAGCGACAGCGAATTTCAGGACACCTCGTTTCTGTTTCTGCAGTGCGCAAGCTTAAGTTCTGCGCCCCAGCTCGGCAGCTACAATATGAGAAGCGGTTCTGATTTCACGGCCCCGGCATGATGAAATTCATGTTGTTGGACAGCACGCAACTCGATTTACTTGGTTTTTAATTGCATTGTGTGCGATGGGCTCCATGGTCAAGAAGCGGAGCTTTTTGGGTTTAGAAACCCAAATCAGTGTTTAGCTGCAGTGGCATAGTTTTGGTCTCGCAGCCCTCTGTTTCTGCAGTGCGAAGGGAGGGTTTGGGCTTCAGCGGTTAACTCGAAGTCGTCGATTTCGTGAAAGGCACGGCGCAAGTCGGTATTGCTTGATGTTGTTCGGAGTGTGTTCAGCAAATGGATTCAATATGCTGAAGCTTAATGAGTGCCGTGGTGCAGCGGCGCTTTGGATGTTTGCATGGCGCGGCGTCCTTTTGTGGTTGGGGCAAAAATGAAGTCGGTATTGTTTCGTTCTGTTCAGAGAGAGAGAGACACAAAATGTGTGCGTTTTCAAGCAGATGGCTGCAATATCAAACTTAGCGAGAGTTGTGAAGCAGCGCCGGGCGGATGCTCCCGATCTTGCATTGTTGCTGTATCACTGCCCTTCAGACTGTTGCCTACTGTATTCTACTGTTCCTCTTTTGTTCCCATGCCACATGGGCTCGCAGACCATCCGTGGCTAGGGCAACCCTGGAGACCTGCATGCATGGGACCGTCTCGATTTTGTAGATATGCTTAACGGCTGAACAAGTCAAACGGCACACGGCGCCTAGAATCTTGCAGGCTTCTTGACAACTGCGCTGTGACCGGACTTGGAACATGACGTCTATACTCACCCCCGACTCACCGTCCCTTCCTTCAATTGCCGCGTTGCAATCGCCACGGAAGCCTGAAACGCAGCTGGTGGGTTTTCACAAGGCTCTATATACTTTCTCAGGTCTGGTGCTGACGAGTTTTTAGCCTGGGCCAACGTTGGCTCTTAATCCCAGGTACACTCAGGCATAATCGAGGACAACCCAAAATAACGTGGTTCTCATCACAGTTTTATGAAGATGGTGATGAACATTCATTGCATCGGCCTCAGCTCGCTTTCAAAGGTCGGGTTCCTGGGTAGTCTTTTCTGTTCACTACGTTCCAACCTTTACTTTACGCGTGGCACTTTGGGACTTCGCCCTCCTGTGATGTCTGCGTCCGGGCGTACATCACACGTACAGGCGGAGGAGGCGTGTGATGGGTCCTATGCGCGTGTATTGTGGGCACTTGAATCCTGTCTTTCTCCTGCTCCCTTCTTGAGATCATTGGCCCACGGGCAAAAGATGCTGTGCCAGAAATTGGCAAAGATCTCTAAGCGGAAAGCTGCTGCATACATGTTTTGGGCACGAGTTCCGGCCTTCTGGCTGATGCCGTGTCTCAAAATGCCTCCATCGGGGGACTTGTCATTGTCCAATGGACATAGAGAAATTAACAGAGAAACATAGAGAATCTCATGGCTTCAGATTTACCAGGTTCTAATGGTTCAATGAGATCAGTTGCGGTTTGCTGTTTTTTTTTTGATGTTGTTGGCTCACAGTACCTGTTTCTACCTCTTGAGAAGTGGTGCAGAGTACTTGTAATTTCACATGTTCACAGCCTTTCTTGCGATCGAGGATGTTTCTTACGGTTCTCGTGTTGCCTCTCGTGCTCAAACAAAGGGTTTGCAGCGTGGATTCCATCCAGAGCTGACTCCAGTGGTCGCCTGTTGTAGGTGTTGCGCAATGTTTGGCGTTGGACAGAACCTGTTCTACCAAGGGCAGTGCAATCCGAATGCCAACTGGGGCATGCAGGGAAACTGGTTTTTCCCCCTTCATAGCAACGTGTATGACGGGCAACACGTCCAAGGAGGCGCGGAGACGGCGACAGTGCCTATGCAAATGAGCAGTCCTTCGATGCAGCCTTTGCATCACACAGGCTTCCAACCCGCACACATGACACCTATGCCGAACCCCCCCGGTGTCCCTGACGCTTCGCAAGCTTCGACAACAGTGCCTTTGCAAATGAGCAACCCATCCCTTCAACCAATGCATCACACAGGTTGCCAACCCGCGCAACCGCCTATGCCAAGCCACTCTGGTTTCCCTGATGCTTCGCAAGCTCCATCCCAGCCACACGCGTCAAGGGTCCAGCAAGCTGTTGATATGCTGTTGCTGCTTTCAGAAGCTGAAAGAACTGAGGTGTTGAAAGCTATGCCTTGCGCAACAGAAAAGGCTGGCGATTTTGACAGCACTGTGCGGTGTTTGATTAACTCTGTTGTCAGCCTTGACCATCTTGATGAGAATGATCTCAGAGTTGTCGCTGATTCGCTGATTGACTCGCTTGGTCGAGTGTGTCAGGGCGTAGACTTGCACCCATTTATCACACAGTCCATGCATCATGGCATCGAGGAGGGTCGAGCTGATCCAACAAAGATAGCCGATGCTGTGCTGTTGCATAACACTTTGAATGCACTCCTTTGGAAAGCGCCAAGCCACCTCAACCCCGATGACATCCAACGCATGGATCGTGGCAGTCCTGATAAAATTGCGAAATGCCTGGCGATCAACAAGCTCATGATTCAGAGGATTGTGGAGTTGCAGCCGACTGAATCGCGCAAGTTTTGGATTCGTGAAGGTGCCAAGCCCATAGCCACCAGCAGTAATGAAAGGGACTTCTTCTTCGGAGTAGTTCCTAAATTAAACCTGCAAGTGGCCAAGCCGGTTGTGCAAGAGTGCGTTGCTTGGATTGCTACCAACGTTCCTCAGCAGTACAAGAAGGGACAACATGAGGCTCCTGAAAAACGTAAAGCTCCAACGGTCTCGGAGCATGCATCTAGTGAGCCTGCGTCCAAACTGCCCAAGCGTGTTGACTTTGACTTTGGTGCCTACACGCTTGACAAGTTTGAGCATGATGCGTCTGCTTTGCCGCGTTCATTGCCTGGGACCACGCTTCTGTCAGTCAAAGAAGCCAGCAAAGAGCAACCCATTGATAGCAGCTCACCGCTGCACGCCGTTGCTGTCAAATTTGACACTGCCTTGGAAAAGTTGGGTGTTGAGGGTCAAATCCGTGAGTCCGTCTATGGAACTTTCAAGCTGGCCACACAAAATATTGGCTTGAAGTGTGACAAGCGCCAAGTGCATGAGCTTCGCAGATGGGTGGCGCGTGCCCTTGCCATGAAGCACGACGCCAATGAGTGACTACATCGTCAAGGCGATGACGTTGCCACGCACGTCGCAGAGGCAACTCGACTCCCGTCGCAAAGAAGGGCCCAATGGAGAAGCGTGTTGCGATCCATACTGTTTTTGCTAATTGAGTGCATGTGTTCCGTTGCCATGAAGCTGGGTACTGCTGGCAACTGCAGTTTGTCAGCCTTGCTTGACTTGCGACTTGTGTCACTCCCGGTTGTGATTGAATACCTCTCATTGTCAACCTTTGATCATGACGTGAGCCTTGTTGCATACCTGAAGCGATTTCCAGGCGGCCTGTGGCCTCACTTGACGACAATTCCGTGTAATGCTCTATATGTTCTGTGGAGTCCACTGCACTCCCACGTGTATGCTGGGCGGACAGTTGACTTCAACCGCAGGCACACCGATCACACTTTCAGGATACACAATCCTGGAGCCACTGGCCAGATCCCTGCGTACTTTTTCTTCAGAGAAAAGGTGCACAGTGAACTGCCTGCTGTGGCATCTTTCTTCATGCTGCCTGTTGTGGCCGTTGATGGTGGAGTGCATGAGGCGGTAGCAGCTGAGCGTGTTTTTCTTGGCAACTTTTGCTTCAAGCTGAACACTCCTCATGTTTACCGCCACCTCAGTCATGAAGCGCTTGAGTTGGTGAACCCGAGCTTGGCACGAAGGCGAAAGATCTTAGGACCTGCAGTGCCATTGAGGGCTCCGCAGTCTCACAGTCCTGACCAGGCCTTGTTACAGTGCCAACGCCCCATGGCAAGACATCTCCGGAAACAACGAGGTTTTAGAGCTGTTGGTATGCTTCGCCTACCGTCAAAGCCCCAGCCTTTCTCATCCGTTGGCCGCATTCTGTGTGCTTTGTGTTTCAATCGGCGTGACAAAGTTGCCAAACATGGTCTCCGCCTTCTGTTTCTTCTCAAGTCTCGTACCACCCTGGTGTACATCTTCCATCAGGTCCGTCGCTGGGCGTCATCCAGCAACAGAAACAATGCTATGAGGTTTTTGCGCAAACGTGCCTGCCAACTCAAGCTGCAGCTCCCTGTCAAACGTCTTGTGCTTGAGTTGCCGTGGTGTGGCACCCCGTTGCACTTTCGTAGCACTAAGCAGCTCATCCAAAAGTTCCTTGTCCGACTGTTCGCCATAGGGGCTTGCCAAGCTACCGTATTTTCTGACGGGCGAGCAAAGTGCCAGATTGTTTGGAAGCCGGCTCCTAGCATGCTAGATGTGGTGCGCTCCGCGCCAAAGTTCAACAATCATCTTGATGATGCGAACTTTTGTGCATGCTGTTGTCACGCTTTCCCCAAAGATCGATGGCCAAGATGCAAAGCCCTAGATGGTACCTATCACGTTTGCGTGCGTCAGAGTGAGCTCCCTGTGCCGACTCATCTAGACTTTATGCGCCAGCTGTCAGCACGCACCCGCGTGGTGCCAGGCAAGCGTTCCACGCTTCGTGATGTTCAGAGGGGTTTTTCCCGTGCTGCCCGCGCACTGCTGGATCCCTGGTGCTGTGACACTGTCAAAGAGAAGCTAGAAGCCACTTCGAAGGAATTCTCACAGTTGTTGGCTGATAGTTGGCGTGTGTTTGATGCACGTTCTGATGCGCAGGGCCACCACGTACTCATGGCTGACGTGCTTCAAGTGAAAAGGCTTTGCGAGGGTCTCTTCATAGAGGCGCTCGATAAGAACACATCGGAGTTTGTATGCATGTGCCCACGCATGTACTTTCTGCAAGCTTGTGGTTTGTTCCAGCACCACCCGCCAGGCAACCTGTTGTTGATTGGTGCTGCTTATAAGGTCTTGTGCCCCTTCAAAACACATGCAGGTAACAACAGCTCCTCCAAGCTTGGAGTGGAGTCAGACATGCTGCTAACAGTCAAGAACATTGACTCCGAAACTGTAGACTTCGGTGAGTTCACTGCACGCAAGGTCGACCTCACTGATTGCTTGCAGCCAGTTGAGGGTACAAACTTCACTTACCTACGAAGTGATGAGAGCTGGTTGGACACAAAAGCCACTTCGATCCCAAATCTGCGTGAAACCCTGCAGCCAGCCTCACTCAACAAGCGGTTTAAACGTCGCTGGCTGACAGCTTTGGCAGGGCGTGATGAATCATGGGGAAAGGTCAGAGCTGTCCCCAAACACAAGAACCTTGCGATTGCTCGACCGCTGGGTGACCAGTCTTGCAATCCTTTGAGCTTGTTGTGCCGCCTCCTTGCTCGTTTCATTGACCTATGTCTCAAAAGCCTCCCGACGGATTCGCATTTTGACCGCCCCACTCACCAGTCGGTTATCGCCTCGATGGAAAAGTTTCGGAATAGACCTTTTGAACATCTGGGCTTGAGCACGAAGATGAATGAGTTAAGCAACTACGGCGCTCTCATCCTCTCACGGGATGTGGACAACGGATACATGCGAATCCAACACCAGGAAGCCCAGGATGCCTGGCATTTCATCAGTTCTGCCATGCAGCAAATGGGCCGTTTGAGCGCGTGGGTTACGACCTCCCCAACTGCAAAACGCTCGCTACACTCTCCTCATGGCTCTGCGTCGTGGACCAAACCGGCAGGGACCCAATGGGTTAAATTCGCCCTTGATGACGTGGACCCTGTGTTGGCGTTCTTGTTCCGCCACATGCAGTTCTGCTTTGGAGCCGCTCGCGGGTGGCAAACCGAAGGCATCATGATGGGACAAGCTGCGGGTGGTGCAATTTTTCGACTGGTTCTCGTCGCTCATGAAATGAGGGCTTTGAGGTCTCAAACCTGGCTAGCGTACAAGGAGAACCTGAAAGACTGCTCCTTCTGTGGTATCCGCTTTGTTGACGACCTCAGGATTTTCATCCTGTATCCCCTCTGCTATGGTGAAGATTAGGCAGCAAAACGCGCTGAAGAAATTTTGATGTTTGTGTACCCTCCGCACCTTGTCATGAAGGATGATGCTGTCAACCCCTTTGTTGGGATGACGCTGCTGAGCATGCATGATTCGATCCATTGGCGCGCTCACTACAAACCTGTTGGCGAAGTTGTTGCTTACAGTCGGCGCTATCAACAAGCGCTGCTACCATGGTGCTCTTTCTCACCACCGGCGACATTTGAAGCGGTTCTCATGGGTGGGTTTGCGAGATGTAAACAATTGTCCAGCAACAGGGCATGTTTCCTACAATCTCTGAGAGACTTCATGGTGATGATCACTCGCCAAGCTGGTTACCCTGAAGGTTTTGTGACTGAAAAGCTGAAAATCTGGCTAAAGCACGTGTCGCGTGACAGTACGCTGCTGAATGAGTTCCGAACCAACCTGCCAGTGATGAACGGCAATGATTGTGAGTCTTTTAAGAGGCCTCAAATCGTATTTGCAGTTGGGCGCCAAAGCCCTACATCTCTCTGAACTTTGATGTTACGTCCGCCGCCCGTGGCAAAACAAATTCCACTCCGTCATATGCTTTCATGCTGATCTGCTTTGCTTGCGCATTTTGCATTCTCACGTGTCCTCTTAGTTTGTTTTGCTGGCTGGATTTCATTTTGTCAGGTCTGGTGCTGACGAGTTTTTAGCCTGGGCCAACGTTGGCTCTTAATCCCAGGTACACTCAGGCATAATCGAGGACAACCCAAAATAACGTGGTTCTCATCACAGTTTTATGAAGATGGTGATGAACATTCATTGCATCGGCCTCAGCTCGCTTTCAAAGGTCGGGTTCCTGGGTAGTCTTTTCTGTTCACTACGTTCCAACCTTTACTTTACGCGTGGCACTTTGGGACTTCGCCCTCCTGTGATGTCTGCGTCCGGGCGTACATCACACGTACAGGCGGAGGAGGCGTGTGATGGGTCCTATGCGCGTGTATTGTGGGCACTTGAATCCTGTCTTTCTCCTGCTCCCTTCTTGAGATCATTGGCCCACGGGCAAAAGACGCTGTGCCAGAAATTGGCAAAGATCTCTAAGCGGAAAGCTGCTGCATACATGACTTAGCCGCTTGAACATCCAGCACAGTCCTGGGCAGGCAATGGGGCTACCTGCCAATCTTTCAGCTGCTTCAAAGCCCTGCGCATATGATGGAGGGAGTCACCCGGCGATGCATGCGGCTCTGTTTTTGCATGTACTGTTTACAGGTGAAAGTTGTTTTGGCCGTCTCGCTTCGGGTAGGCCAGAGCTGTACTTGTTAAACACTTGCACACGCGCTCCGCCTCAGCACAGCCGGCCCAATCCGCTCTGCAGCTTCCGGAGGGGACAGACTGTCGCTCACGGCAGCGAATGCACTGGGTCCCCAAAGCAGGACTCAGAACGCACTTTTCGGCTGACGAACGTCAAATGTCATTGGGTCCGAGAGAGGGGGGTCCCGAGGAAAGGATCCCCAGAGGAGGGGGGTCCCAGAGGTGCCTTGATGCTCTCGTGGTTGGGCCCTCCAAACCCCCCGCCCGAGGAATCGCATTGCAGTCCGTGGAGGGGGAGGGGGGGGAGTGTGGACGGCAAATTTCCGGTTGGGAAGGGGGATCTGGTCTGCTTGTTCTAGATGCCCCTCGTGCGGAACCCGAGGCGAATTGTGCGCCACAGTCCCCCTTACATCTGGCTATTACACCCAAGGATAGATCCAAAAAGGCACCTGTGAATGCTGAAAACCAGAGTGAGGATGGTGGTAGCATCATCCTTGCCACCATGGCTATGCAAGGCAGCGATGCTATGCTCCAAGGGCTTGGAAGGTTTTGAAGGGCTGACCGGGGGGGGTTCGGTTCTCAAATTGAGGTCTCGTAATTGCATTCAGAGTGCTAAACCTCCCAGCCCCGGAAGAGCAGGATGTTGCAAAGTCTTCGGGGCATCGTGGCATTAGGCCCTCAACAGAGTGGAACTGAAAGAACCATTTCGTTTCTTGCCCGGGAACCCCGCCATTCGAGGGTTGGTCGAACCAAGCGACGCCTTCACCGTTCTGAGCCTGGATTGCAAGTTCCCAAAAAATTGCAAGGATCTACACCTAAGACATTGTGAGGAGCTGTTGGGTTCGTTCTTGCTTCACAGCCCCTTTTTTTGGAAGAAGGCTTCCCGCCCAGACTCGCGACCCCCTTTTCCTGAAAGTCAAAGGGGAAGGGAACGAGAAGTTGGGTCGGCTTGCTGCTTGCGCACAAGAATCAGAATCTCAAGAGACACACCGCAATCCGCGCAATCGGGGGCGGGGGAGGGGGGACGATTGAGCTTCGGTTGACGCTGATCTCCGGCGCTTAGCTCAATGCGACTTCTTTCTCACCCTACCACTAGATCTTCCTTCCTTCCTGACTGCTTCACGCAACCGAGACTCATTGTCAGCGATCCCCTGGCTTGAATCATTCAAACTTTGCTCCCAAGATTCCTCTCGAACCATTCTGCCATCCTGCAATCTTCCCGCTTGGATAGGCTGAGCAATACGAACCTTTGAAGAGCGAAGGCTTCCCAAAGCCCAAAGTGTCCAGGAGATATCAGGAGATTTTCAACCAAAAAAACAGTCTGGGACGTCTCTTCTGACAGCACAAGGTCTCTTTAGAAACCCTGGCCACCCCCTCGGGCTCTTCAAAAACAACTTGTCGAAAATTCTCTTGGAGCAAAGGTTTTTGAGGGAGAGTTTTGGGATGGAGCGCGAGCCTCTCTTCCTTCGAAAGTGTTTTTCTCCAGCGCTTCGCAGTGACCCAAAACGTGTGAGAAAGAAGCATAAGGACTTATTCACAGGAAGAGTGTCAAGTTAGCTAACATACAGTATGTGTTTGTGTGTTTAGTTTGCAGTTCTCCGTTCTATTCAGTGGAACGTTCAGGGCGCAGAGACATTCGGCAGAATGAGCAGGGCTGCACAGCTAGTTTCTCAGAACAGGAGGGAGGCGTGTGCAAGGCGTGTGCATGCCCTTTCGTTGGGCAGTTTTGAGCCCCCACTTCGCAGACCTTGCGCAAACTCGGGACTCGAGCAGGCCTCTGTTCTGGATCCTCTGTCCAGCTGTAGACGTGATTCCCAACCACTCGGCTCGAGCTGGAAGTGTTCAGTGATGGGAAACTCCGACTGAGTGGGGGGGGGGGGGGGGGAGGGGGGGGGGGGGGGGCGGGGGTGGGGGCGGGCGGGCGGGGGGGGGGGGGGCGGGCGGGCGGGGGGGGTTGGGATAATTAAATGCCTTAAACCACCCCAACCCTCCTTTCTCTCCGCCTCTGGCCCTGAAACCCGTGTGCCCTTGCAGTTCGGCTCTTCAAAATCGCTTGCAAGTGCTGTTTTGAGGCTTCTCAACTGTGCACAGCTCCTGCGGCGTTTGTTGTAAAAAAGCTTTGTCCTGCAAAAGGCGCGAACGCGCACAAACGCCAACGTGCCTTTGCTGTTTCTCCGCTGTTGGGCTGACAGAACACCGCGCCTGGGGTGACTTGCTTCAAGTTGCCTTCCTGTGCTGTGTGCCGCCAGGGTTGGGCTGGCTTGACACCGGGTGGGCCGAGATAAACCAAGTGCTTGTAGGTTCCTAATGGTTACTGGGCCCATGTTGTTCTGGAGCTAGGAGACGTAGGACCAGGAGGCAAGGGTGTCACAAAAGCCACACAGTGCGCTGGTATGTGTGTGGCCCTGTTTGGGCAAAAGTGACACCGGATCCCGGTTCAGAAAGTCAATGGTGAAATACAGTTGCTGCCCGCGTTAAAACTTGATGCATCGAGCCGAAGATGTATTCAGAATGTCGAGGCTTCTGCTGCGAGGTTGAGCTGTATTTCACGCAAGACACGGAGGAAACACATTGAGGTTTCGAGAGGTTTCATGCAATATTGGTTCATGAACTGGTCCTTGGCTGCACCATTACGGATTCGGATAGCACAGGGTGCAGCAAACAGATATCCATCTGTTGGGGCAAGAGCAGTGTGGAATTCAAGGGTGCCGCGTGAAGCAGAGCAGGCAGAAAATGTTTTTGTGGCGGGGGAACGGGGGAGAACGGGGGAGAACAGGGTCCAACACATCTTAAGGAATCGGACGCGGCGGCTGGAGGTGGACGAGCGGAAGTTCCTGGATCAGGCATAGCAGAGGGCATCAGAGCTGAGAGCATCGCAGAGACATGCGCAGAGAGAGGGAAATCAGGCAGCAGTGCACGTTTTGGCCAACCCTCTTCCTCAAACTAGGGGACGTCCTCGAGTGTGGGTGTTTTGTGTCCGCGCAGTAACACACTGGGGGGAACACCCCCGTGAGCCTTGGCATGTGATGATGGGAAGTCCCTTGCTTTTGACCAAAGAGTCCGTCTCACGTGGACCCGTGACACCAAGGGCGCGCCCAGCGCGCGCGAGGGTTCAGGGACTTCTGCCCTGTCCTCCATGCCGGGTAGAAGAAGAAGAAGAAGAAGAACAAGAAGAAGGGAGATCATGGGCCGTGTGCAGCAACTCACCAACACGGCCATGATTTTTGAGTTCCAAGGTCAAAGTGCAAGGCACCATTGGCTGTGATAGTCACTATGAAAGTGAGGCCGAAGCCTAGAAAGAGTGGGGGGGGTATTTGCGGTGTTCTTTTCTCAAAAGGCTTACATGTCGTCTGAAAAGCGCACTGGCCAAAATGTAGTACCTAGTCTGTAATTACATTCTTGTGCACGTTCTGTAAACGGAGATCCTTGTTCGAATCAGACCCGAAGGCTGGCTTCATTGAGAAGGATGTGCTCCACTCAGTCTCGAGAGCGCTTGAGCAAGCAGCTTGACTTGGACTGGGGCCGAGCAAAAGCCCAAGAAAGAGGAGCAGGAGCCCCCCCCCCCCATTCGCAACATTTTCCCGATGAGAGTTACATACCCCGGCAGCAGATTCCCAGAGGGCGCAGACTGTTTTGGACTGGGGCCCTCACAGCCCTGTCTGTTATGAGTTGTTATGGATGTTTGGGCATGAGTCCGAACGTTTGCTTTAGATAAACTGGCACCGAATCTGCGACACCCATTCGCAGTAGCTATCCTTATCCTCTGATCCCTATGAAGGGCGCTTGCGTTTGTGATTCTTAGCAGCTGCTTCTTCAGCGCGCAGTCGAACGGGTGTTACGAGACTGCTGCTCTAGCGTGACTCCGCTGATGAAACCTCAAAGCAGAACCGGCCGAACCGGCCAGGCCTAGCCCAACTGAAAAGTCGGAGCGGAACTTGAGAAACTCGGGTAGCCCACAGAGCAGATGCTCAGGATCCATCCGGGAATCGCATCTTTGGGCTTCGGTCCTCTTTTTGTAACCCTCTGGAGAGCAAGCCCTAGAGACCACACTCCTCCTTTTTTCTGTTAAAGTTCCCCAAAAAGGGGGCCCTCGCCTCCTCCCTGAAAGTGAGGCGCGGGCGGACAATTGCGTTGGAGCGCTCGCCAGCATCTTGGAGATGGCCATAACTGATCATAACTGCGACACATTAAGCCTGAAGGTTCAAGGGTTCCGGGTATGGGTGTCCTGCTTTTTGCGCTCCAAAAGGACTTCTAACAGGAAGTGCACATCGTTCCCCATTGCCTCGAGCAAATCCAAGGCAACATGAATCTTGCCAAAGAAGCCGAATATTTTCACAGCAGGGCGAACCTCGTGTTCCAGCACTGGGATCCACAGCAGCGTGTTTTCGCCCCCCTGACTCATTCGCATGAACCCGTAAAGCTCACAGGCTTAGCTCGCACGGACGTTACTGATGGCTACATGGAAGGCACTGCCTTGCAGTATTCCTTCGCAGCGACCTTCAACGTCACTGAAATGGTTCGGCTGCACGGAGGTCAAAGCGAGTTCTTGCAGGCTTTGGACTACTTCATCTATGAAGCCCCGGAGCCCCATGGAGTCATGGACTTGTCTGGGAATCTTCATGGCCTCTCATTGGGAAACGAGCCGAGCATGCACGTGCCTTACCTCTACAGCACGCAGGGAGAAGTGCATCTGAGCCAGAGGTGTTCATCTATGTTTTCTTTAGGTTTTAGGGTTGAGGGTTTAGGGTTCAGGGTTTAGGAGGTTGCTGTGCAGAATAGGACACCGCAGGGAGCAAGAAGCGAGTCTCCCTGTGCTAGCCTCCCAGGAACCGCACGGCCAGATTGGTGGACAAGCTGGCGCCAGCCTCAGACCGAGCTGCAAGCATCTCCTCGACAGAGCACGAGCAATATGGGCGCTACATACCTTCACGTTAAAATCCCCGCAATTCTCCAATTCAGGCCACCTCAAAGAGGGCAACCCCTAGCCCATCCAAAACCCCAAGTGCCACAATATGGACATTTTCTGCAGGGGCCTCTCAACGAGTCAGAGTAGCGGAGAAGGAAGGGGGGTGGGAGGGGCGGGTGCGCCAAAGCTGTTCTGCCGAACGGATAGACCCAACGACCAGCGTCACCGGAAGAGCGCAAGCTGGAATCCTTCCATGGAATACAAGCGCTGGAAACTTGCTGGTACTTGGGATCAAGGAAATCTGAACAACATGCAGCCAAGATGGTTTTTTGATATTGGACCGCCGCACATGGCCAAAAACTGCGAGAGGATGCAGGCACGAGTCCATCGCCTCAGAGGCCATCTCCAAATCACAGGTAGACAGGCACGGCACATCTTGGAGTATCCTTCAGCTTGCAAGCGTACCCATAAGCCTTTCAGGGCTTGCAAAGACATAAGCCGCTCAGGGTCAACTCAGAATTCCTCCCTGCCCTCCGTTAGTCACATATAGAAATCCATGTCCTTCCGATCACGCCATTGAGGTAAAGACTATGTTCACAAGTCGTCCAGACGGCCTGCCGGGCAATGACGACATGGGAGCCATGTCAACTTGGGCGGTTTTGAGCTACTTGCTACCTCTCAAGTGTGGGGGCTTCCATTCACTGTACGTTTCTGCTTGAGCCGCGGTAAGAGCCCGGAAGCATCCATCAGACCGCACCTATAGGAAACTCAGCACATCGCAAACTTGAGGCTTGCTTGGCTTCTATCCCGTGGACCCTTGCTCTGGCTACTTTGTGTTGGGCCGCCCCTTTGTTTCGAGCGCGTCTTTGGCTGTGCCGGGCGGCAAGTTGCAGATCACCGTCCACAACCAAGGTGCACTGGGAGTCTCCGTAGACTCTTCGGGTCGACATTCCTTTCTCGTCAACAAAACCGAAACACGAATCTGTGCAAAGGCTCGGAAGTCACGAGACATCTTGTAGGGAATCTTCGGTAAGTTGCTCAGAAGACGCGGTGGACTGGATTCGTAAGAGTTGCGACAGCCGGAAGAGTGAACTCCAAAGATCTTGTGCCTTGAATCCCCAAAGCTCATGAAGCGCCAAAATTCAGCTCACAGGCGAAGAGCACATGCTTGTGGAGCGCGTCTCCTGGAATGGACGAATGCTGAATCTTTCAAAGCCCCTTCTTGCTGTGAGCGAGCTCTCGCGAGGGGGTCTGCTTGAATTCTGGATGACAGCCTAGGGCTGCCGAATGCTTCGGAACATTCCCCTGGTGCTGACGGGGGTCCAATCCCCAATTTCCTGCCAAGAATCGGCATGTCTTGAACCATGCCACTTGCTAGGTTTGTGCGCTGGCGCATTGTAGAGTCAGCCTAGAACATGCCAAAGGCGGATACATGCCACAGCTCATTGAGAAATAGCCATATGGTAGCCCGATTCTAACGTACCCAGCACGCCTAATGACTTACAATCCCCCTCGGGTTGATTACAGAGATTCTCTGTTTGGTCCCCCAGTTGGTCCCCCATTGGTCCACAGTTGGTCCCCCAGTTGGTCCCCGTGTTGGTCCCTGAATTGGGCCTCAATGGGTCCCCATGCACTATAGATAGGGAAAACCCTCTCGAGTTGTTTATTGTGGGTGCTGCATTGAACGTGTCGACGAAAAAGTTTTGGCCCGATTGCATTTCACCGACAAAGGCAGCCGGGTGAAGAAGGTGCGGTCAGGTGTTTAACCGTGCCTGGGGTTGGGTGAATAGCTTGACACCAGGGAGCCCGTCTGTGAAGCCTATCCAATGATCTGGTGCTAAAGTGGAGGAAATGCGGACAGGCGAGGCTTCCCCCTAAGCCTCGCCCCAGTACTCTGGGGCAAAAGTTGGGAGTGGATGTTCCAAAGCGGTTCGATGATGCTCACAACATGGCCCAACCCCGTGACCCATAGCAAACCAGTCAAAGTCAGAGGAACAGCACGTCTTTGCCACATAACACAAATGTAGCAGACGCAGCATTTTCGCACCCCGAGACCCCTGTGTTGTGAACCATATGGGAAAATCCAAAGCGCACCTGGGTGCGCTATGTGAAGGCTGGTGCAAAGAATTGGGAACACCATGGCGTTGCCAGGCTGCGCAGCTCCAACATATTCGCACCGAGATACTTGCTTGGTTGCTTTGAACCTGTTCTACGAGTGGCAGCTCCGCAATTCATACTTGGTCAGGCGCTGTCAGTTTTGTTAACTATATGAGAAAATACAAAGCGCACCTGGGTGCGCTATGTGAGGGCTGTGCAAAGTTAGAGGAACAGCGCGCGACACAAACGTAGCAGACGTAGCATATTCGCGCCCAGAGACCCCAGTTTGTTGTGAACTATATGGGAAAATCCGAAGCGCATCTGGGTGCGCGATGTGAAGGCTGTTCAAAGTCAAAGGAACAGGTCCTGCGTTGCAACCAAATGTAGCATACGCACAGCCAGTGGCGATTGTTTGTTGCGAGCTTTGGTTTTGAATGGCACGTCTTTTGCTTTGTTGTCCAATGCTTTAGCAAGAGCATGTCTAGCCGTCCACGTCTACCGCTTTAAAGCCGACGATGAAACACGTTCTACAACCGTCCAGGCTACACAACGTACACAAACCGTGTACCTTGGATGCTCTCAAGATTGCTGCGCAGCGGGGGCCGCCGCCGCCGCCGCTGACACCAGAGTCCGCTAGAGAGGTCCGTGGCAAACTTTTGCGCAGTTTGCGAGTGCCCGGCACCTCTGGACTCTGAAGCGCCTCGCTGTCTCCCATCTACGCTGGAACCACCTTTGCGCCGTCTTTGAGCCACCTCTGCTAATCGCTCCAGAAGCCTAATGCCCAACTTACCCATCATACGCCCAGGACGGGAAAACGCTCCGCCAAGCAAGCAGCAACGCGTGAGGCTGAAGCAACAAATTTTGACAGGCCGCTTGGCCTACAGTGATACCTTCGAGATGGGCCAAATGAACCCTCGCCAACGCTTCTCCTTGGACAATTATGCACGACGCACAGCTGAAGGAGACTTGGTGATTCTTCCCTCGGGTATCCCTTTCCATTCAGTCACCTAGCGTTAACATATAAATACCTATAGCCTACCACTTGTATATCGTGCCAATACTTGCATTGCATAGCTCGAAAAACATACAAAATAGAACTTAGAACTCATAACTGGTAACTTTTAGTTATTTACAAATGATACCTGTAGTTTGCCTTGACCTCGCAGCGCATCTTAAGATGACTGATTCACCTCGCATGTTGCGGTGCATTAGAGCGATTATGATCCTTAAAAACCCTTTAGTTACAGCCTGAAACATATAGTGTCACACCGTGTCAAACCGTGTGACGCTATTTCAGCAACACAGTGTCAAACAGTGTCAAACAGTGTCAGATAGTTTATAGTGTCAAACAGTGTCACACCGTGTCGCAGGGTCCATACGTAATAGTGTCACACCGTGTCACACCGTGTGACGCTATTGGCAACATAGCCACAATATAGCCTTATCAACAGACCTGTCGTAGATTATGTTCAGCGAAAACATGCAAAATTTGTGAGAAACAAAATCGTCCTGGATACCCGTCTTAATCCATAGCATTCAAAAAAACAGGCAGTCAAACACATAACTTATGTAAAAATATCTTATCTCTACATTTGCAATAATATTCGAGCCCACCGCAGAAGTTTAAGGTAGAGGGTTTTAGTGTCGGGTTCCGCATCTTTTTCCCAGCCAGCGGCCTCACAGCAGTGGAGTGCGGTAACGGCATGATTCACAACAAGCAGGCGTCATCGGCTGCAAATGTGTTGCATTTGTGTTTTGTGGCAAAGACGTGGTGTTCCTTTGATTTAGCCCAGCCTTCACATAGCGCACCCAGGTGCGCTTTGTGTTTTCCCAGAAGTTCTAGGATGCTACGGATCTTTGGGTTTTGGCTCCGGGAATTTCGCAGGTTTAGTCCGGCCCTAAACCCAAAATCCAGGCCCTGTCAAGCCCCGCCCGCGCCACAGAAACGCTAAAATAGCGCCCTGAAAAACCATGAGCCTCCCCCATGGACCCACCAAAATGACCACCAACTATTGACCAGAATGAGGACCAACAATTCGCCTATGGCCCACCTAACAGACATACAACCCTAGGGGGATTGTAACTAATGACCTGTTCTACGGCGAGTAGCACAGCGCGTGCTTCGGAAACGATCTGTACAGCTCTCGGATTTCGAAGTTTTTCGAAGTGAATATGAGTGACCTCCACGGTTTTGGAGCTGCGGCGAGTTGCGAAGTGACAGCCGGAGCTGGGGCCGGAGGTGCTGGCGGTGGCGTACATAAAACCCCACGCTTCTTGTCAGCAACGTTGAGCGACTCTGGCAGAGCAAGTTTGCAAAAGTGGCTGCATGTTGGCTGTACATGGTGTGCAGAGTGGGTCCGGCTTGGGATGTTGAAGTGAGGTTGCAAGTTCGCTCACAGATCGTAGACGTTAAGGCTGTCACACAAAACTTTGCGACATCTCCTGCCCCTTTTTTGGGGATTTTGGCCAGTCATTTCCTCAAGTAGAAGAACGTGTGGTGGACTCGGAGCATCGGACGGCGCATAAGGTTAGGACCCAGTCAGAAAACAATCTGAGCGGACGGGCCGCTGGGCCAAAAGACAAACAGGACATCTTAAGCACCTGCTAGTGACCGTGACTGGCCGTGATTGAGTTAGAGACAGCTCACGGGTAACAAAAGTAAACAGACGCTGCAAAGTTCGGAGTGCCTCAGACGAGCTGAGAGCTGCTGAAATTTGTGGAAGAGGCTGAAACCCTGGAGTAAAGGGCTTGATGCACGAAGAGTTGCAGCGGGCGCCAGGCAACCGGGGGGGGGGGGGGGGAAATTTCTGACAGTTAGCGTGACTGGCTCCACAGCACAACATGCCCATCTTCACGCTTCCGAGGCGCCTGAGCTCAGGTCTTGCGGCTGGCCTGTCGGTGTCACTGTGTTGCCACATAGAAATCCCAATAGACAAATGACTGACACACACACACACCGCACGCGCGCACGCACCGTGCACGCACGCACGCACGGAACGACTTCATGCGGTAGGCATGTTGCTTGTATGGACTGCATCTACGCACCGTCATCGAGGAATATGCATGTTCATGCATTGCACCTTAAGTCAAAGGCTGCATGGTGTTCGTTTGTGTACGGATAACACCGTGTGCGCGCACACAGACACAGAGACAACGACAGAGACAGAGACAGAGACAAAGACAGAGACAGAGACAGAGACAGAGACAGAGACAGAGACAGAGACAGACACGCACACCTTGTTTCACAGAACCGGAGTGTTGCGAATGTTGCGTTTCCTTTCCTTGGGGTTCTTATCATGTGGAGTTCTTTCGTGCTTGTGCTTGCCTACACCGGAACCTACTTGCGTATGCCGGGCACCAAGGGCCACTATGTCCAAGCAAGAGCAGCAACATGTACAATGTACCCGCTTTCAAAAGAGAGTTAAGTGGAAAGATTGAGCTGTCTCTGTGCATCTTTCGGATTCAGGTTCGCGGCGTACATAAGCCATAAGCTGTTGCTGCAAACATTCTAAGTAGCTTTCTTCATTCTAGCAATCGTCCGTTGGTATTGTATTGGGTCGGCCTTGTACATGTCATGCAGGGAGAAAGACGGCACGCTTGAGGAAGAGATGTGTGATGCAGACTGCAGAGAATTCTTCTTCGTCAAGTCAACGGGACTTGTTCTATGCAGGCGTGGCGCAGGTTATGCACAAAGTGTCTAGTCGAATACCTTTTCGAAGAGGCTCTGAGCTCATCTTGGGGAGTCTTTCCGACGTGCGACTCACACAAGCAGATCTTGAATTTCCGTTTGTGCTGCGCAAGGTCTGTTTTGCTGAATACTGTAGGAGACACAGGTCCCCCAAGAGAAGCGCAGCATGATCATCAGCATCATCACCATCATCAGCTCCCTTGTATTGCATTGTCGTTGCCATCGCCACCAACATCACCACCGCACGCAACAAGTTCACGAACAGGGGGACGCACATCCGCCCTGATGTTGCGCCTTTGCTCTTGCCAGTCGTGGAAGGAGGTTCCCTCGGAGGGGCTGCGATTGTGCACAAGTCAAAGCCCTTCTTGCAGCAGTGGGAAACGATTCTTGTTTGCCCCTTAATCAGAATGGGCTGTGATTTGTCGGGATCTGGCTCAAGCCTGGAGCATCCTAGTATGATGTGGCCGACACGAACCCACAAAGTTGTCATAAC